GGTGTTCGCGCTAATGGAAATGAATAAAACGACATTAATACAGCCGTATTCGCTACCCGAATCTGTAAGTCGGCATTAAGTACCCCTAGCTCCATTTCCTCCAGAAGCGTAGTGTGCGTGGGTGACGAGTGTGTGATGTGCGCGTGCATGCGTGTGGGGACGGCACGTGGGTGGCCGCCAGCGTGTGACACAGCAGAGCCCGCCACTGCTGTATCAGCCGTTTCACAAGACTGGACGCAGGGCTGCGGCGAGATCCGACTGGCTCACTTCCTGCCGACGTGATGTTCCTGAACGTGTCGAGTTAACTTAATGTGGGGAAAGTGAATCCGGTGTTAAGTACGTGAGGCCCACTGGCGATCTCAAGATCGTGCACTGTCTCTCTTCTATGCTGCTTTTTTAAAAGGTGTATAGGAGTTTTCTCAGTATGAGCCATTTCCACGGATGATGGTGGATTCGCCCCCACGGCTCCCCGTGACGGTGGTCGCAGCGGTGATGGGGCTGGTGACTCCAGGAAGGGCAGCAGCAGCCGTGGGAACCGTCGTCCTGACCGTGGCAGTGGTGCGTGGGGGTGGTCAGCAGGCTCACTGGCCACCAGAAGGCCACACTGCTGGTAAGTGACAGACATGACACTGGACGAGGCCTTCCAGTTCAGCCGATTCACGCGACCGAGGGCACTGAACGAAATGTCAGATTTGCCACCGCAGCAGAGTATTGTGTCACAGGCTGGTGGAGACCCACTTGGTCTCACCCATACCTACTTGCAAGGAAAATACTGGGCTAGGACATTTCATAAAGGATGAATGACCCACGTGTGGGTCGGCGCACAGACAAGCCGACAGAGGCCGTGTGTGTCCCTGCTGACGGAGAAAGAGTTTGGTGGAGAGGGTTCCTTCCAAGATGGCTTGGAATGATTACTACAGAAATCACGGAGGAAGAAGGGCACTGGACCTGGTCCTCACCCAGCTGGCCACACCAGCTTTCGGGGACACCTCTTCTCTCAGCCTGTCTTGGGCTTTTGCCTCCAGGGTGACACGGGGGGACCCTGCCCAGTCGCACCTGCTGGCATCACAGCGGCCAGGGGACGAACTACGCTACATGTTGACCTATAAAATCTCCCGTGCGGAAACCACAGTGAAAATGCCACCTTGTTCCTATGCTACCACACAGTCAAGGCAAAGGTCCCCCAGGGTCCCCGCGGCACTGGTTTTATTTTGAATTGCTTTTGTTTCTGGACGTGAAGGGGCAGGTTTGCAGACTCTGGCTCAGGTGGTCCGGGCTGAAAAATGCGAAGAGTTCCGCGTATGTGCGTGCAGGGAGACCCCATGACCTTGGACAGAGGTCATTGTGCACAGCGCTGGGTTCTCCAAATGTGACGGTTTGACAGGACCTTCTCCTCCCGAGCGCGGCAGACACAGGCTCGCTTCCCTAAATCCTAAGCAGGACGGGGGCCACCATGTCAACCGGCAGATTTGGATCTGCTCGTACCTTTCTCTGGACGGAGAGCTCTGATGAGTCCCTAGGAGGCAGTCCAAGTGGATTTGGGGAGAGAAGTTAATGCTGGACGTTCTGAGTGACTGGATCTGACCACGTGCCAATGGATTCTCATCTCGAGGATGGTAACAAGCAGGCAGTAGGCGGTGACGCCTGTGACTATAAATACACTGTGCACTTGAACTTCAACTTGAGAATTGATTTTTTTCTTCAGTTATTTGACGGCTGCTTCTGGAAGAATGATCCCAGGAATTTACGCCTCTCTTACTTGTGATGACTTCCAGCCAGTGGGAGGAAAAATAAAACGCAGGCCAGAGTCTCCTTTCGGGGCCCGAGCGGCGTGTCTTCCTCTAACCCGACGTGTGGCAGCATCGCTGCCAGCCTCCCGTGCTCGCGGAAGGCTGGGGGGAACGCCGGGCAGGCTCCTCCCCCCGCCCCGGCCCCGCGGCCCCTGGGAAGCTGGTGGCGGAGCTGGCTGGCTAGGAGCTCGATCCCTCAGGTGCCGCACGACGCTCCCTAGGAACTGGGGGTTCCCTCAGGCCGAGACGAGTGAGTAAAGCCTGGCGGACAGAGCTGGAGGCAGCCTGCTCGTGCGTCTGACACGCGCCCCGAGGGCACACGTCCGTGAGCGCGGTGCGGAGCGGGGACAGAACACGGGCTCAAGGAAACACAATCCCCGAACCCTGGGCCAGCCGCATCCCTCCCGCACACGGAGACGGCCTGATCAGACTGGGGAGCGTGCGATTCACTAACGGGCTTTCCTTGCTCACCACTGTGGCCGCGATGGTGTCTCCTGCACCCACATGGCCGGACACATGGGTTTCCCACAGAAAGAGAACACGCAGTGTGGACGGGCACGGGGTGGACGGGCACGAGCGTCCTGGGAGAAACCACCTTCCCCCGTGTGGTAGGAACCCGGGCACGGATGGCGGCACCATGGCACACGTATTAGTAACCGGGAAGGTGGTGGGTCCGCAGGGCAGATTCAGGACCGAACAAGACGGAGGAGGGTGGGGGGGACCGCCATTCTCCCAGGGTGCGTGACGAAGCCTCTTCTCTCCAGCAAATGACTAAGGGACGTGACCCTGACCCTGAGGCCGGAGTGCAAACAGTAATCCGACAGAGGTTTGTAGGCCCCCACACAAAACCAACTCTGCTCCACACAAGAGGACCTGCCCTCGTTTGTGGCTCGGCCACTCCTCTCCCAGACGCCACAGAGGTCAGGCTGCTGCTAATTAAACTGGGGCAGGTCTGTGCGACCTCACTGGGGCACCGTCATCTCTACCACGTGAGGAGCCCTCCTCCCTTCCAGCGAAGATAGCATTGAAGTGCTCCTTTCTGCCTTGTCTGCCCTTGAACAATGCGTCATCGCTGCCAGAGCACAGCAGGGAACAGAGGGGAAAGAGAGGGCGGGCGGAGGGGCACAGAGGGGCGCGGGGGGGCGCAGGGGGGCAGATTAGAGCAAAGGCAGGGCCGGAGCTGCTTCTGACCCCTGTGTGGACGCAGATCTCACCCACATTTTCCACGTCTGGTCACAGGCTCAGTGACACGGAACATCATCGCTGGACCTAAAGTTTCATTTCACGTTGCAGAGAGTCGTTAAGGGGGCTGTTACGGTCGGAGATGGACGTTTTCGTGCTGTGATTTATGGAGCCGCTGTGATTCACAGCACAAGCCCCTTCCTGTCGAGCACACACCAACGACCGGGGCCCCGAGTGGCGGAGAAGGGGGCTCGAGGGCGGGTGGGGAGGCGGGAGCTGCCTGTCTACGGTCAGGCCACTGTGCAGGGCTGGCCCTTCCCCTGCACACGTGCACGTGGGGCGGCAGACAGAGTGTGCAGCCCCCGTGCCGGGGCTGCAGCCGAGCCCTCCAAGCAGGTGTCTCTGAGCCGAGAGCCAGCAGCAGAGCAGGAACTTTCCATGGCAGAGAGGACGAGGATGGAGCCGGGGGTTTGACGTTGGTCCATCTGGGCCTTCCCCCAAGTCCACGGCTGTGACAAATACCCAGGAGGAGGGACGGACAGCGGTTCCTGGCTGGTCACTCTGACCTTGGCCACTGCCTCTCTCTGCCCCTCGAGGCCACCGCGCTGCCAACGTGCCAGAGTGTCCCTTGCCCAGCGCTCCACGCGGAGAGTCACTTCAAGGGAGGGGAACGCACTGACGTGATGGAATTCGCCCGGACGCCTGGCGCTGCCCATCCGTGACCTGGAGAAAGTTGCCACGTGGCTCTGGTGTGGACTGGGGCCACTGGCAGCAGGTGCAGACCGCGTTTGTGTGCAGAGCGCGGGCGGCCCCTAGATGGTGCGTGGGGCGGGGCGGGCCGTGGAGCCTCACATCTGCAGCTGTGCGGCACAGAGCCACAGGGGAGGGCGGCCCCTGGACACCGGGGTGCCCCCTTCAGGGTGTCTGCTGCAGGCCCTAGGGGGAGGGCTGCTTCCCGACCCCAGGGCGTCTCAGGTCTGTGACCCCCATGGCACAGGGCGCTAACTCGGCCCCCACCCTTCCGCCCAGGGCGGGGGCACCTGCTCGGGGAGAAGGAGCAGGTGGTGTGGGCCGGGGGGGTTGGGGGGGGACAGACGCACCCGTCAGGCAGGCTCCGGAAGGTATCTTGAGGAGGGGCAGCGGCCGTGGGGGAGATGGGGGTGGGGGCTGCAAACTGAAGCTGCAGGGGTGGGGCCCCTCCTCCCCGTGGCTGCGCACAGCGCGGGGGCACCGCGGGGCCTTCCCTCCCGCCCACCTGCACTTCCCGCTCCTCCGGAGGTCAGGGAACCTTCAGGCGGGCAGGCAGGCGGCAGCAGCATTCCAGAACCCCGGGACGGCACAGCCCGCACGTTCCCACCCGCAGACGCCACGCCGCGGGCGGGACAGGCCAGGCAGAGGCCGGACGCCGCCGGTGCTGCCGCAGAGGAGGGTCACCGGTGCCCCTTCCCGGGTCTGCTCCGGGGACAAGGGCTGTGTCCCAGCTGAAGCCAGCTCACAGCCTGACGAGCGCAGAGACTGGAAGGGCTTCGCGGGCAGCTCTGGAGCCGCTCTCACGGGCCGGCATCCTGGGGGCGCCGCGGGGCCTCATGCTTTCATTTTGTGCGTGGCCCCAAACGTTCTGAGGCCGGTGCTGTTTCTGGATCATGCTGCTTCATTAATTAACTGTCCTACACTCTTACCTTTCTCGTTTTCAGTAGCTTTTTTTTTTTTTAAGTTTATTTATTTATTTTGAGAGAGAAACAGAGAATGTGGGGGGCAGAGGCAGAGGGAAAGAGAGGATCCCAACCGGGATCTCACGAACTACAGGAACACGACCTGAGCTGAAAGCACTGAGCCCCCCAGGCTCCCCCTTCATTAGCTTCTTAACTCTCGTCAACCGAACTCTGAACCTCAGATTCCTGAGTTAAAACCCACGAGTCCCGTGGGAAGAGGCGCCCCCACCAGCGCAAACCCACCCTGTTGGGCACCCGCCTGTCCCTCGAGTGGGCTGGAGCGCTGACGCCGGCTCTCTCCGTGTCCCCCCGACAGGTGTGAGCCACGCCGAGGCGCGCCAGCCCGGAAAGTCCCCGCACTTCAGCGTGAACTGGGTGGTGGGTAACACGGACGTGGAGGTCATCGACGGCACCACCGGCAGGAGGAGCTGCGGGGGGTCCTCGCGGCTCTGCAAGCACATGTTCTCGGCACGGTGGGCGCGGCTTTACGGAAAGGTAACAGTCCGGTGGGGGCGGCTCCCACGGCCACGGGGAGGGCCCACGGGAAGCCGGCGTCTTGTCTGGGCAAGAGCGGCACGTGGCATGAACACCGGCCCCCGTTCTGTCTTCTCCCCGGGTCCCCGCGGCCACTCGGTGCAGGGCCCACGCCAGCAGCCACGGGCTGTGGCTCTAGAACCCCGTGGAGAAGGAGCCGGCGGCTTCATGGAGGGAAGTCCAAAGGAGGCCCCTGGAGTCGGTATTACTCCCAGTTTAGATGGAAGGAAACTGAGTGGTTTCCCCGAATGCCGGGTGGAAGGTGAGCGCTCCCCCCACCCCGAGGCTGTGCGTCTCTGCTGCAACTCTGAGCTTGCTTCCCCTCGATAACGACGCCTGCAGGGGCGATCTCAGGCTGAGATCTAGACACAGACCCCACGTGTTCCCAACGCATAGCAGGCCGCGCACAACCAAACAGCCCCACAGAGCAAAGCAAAAGCACGAAATCAAAAGGCAGAAACCCATTACGTGGCTGCGCCGGCCTCCCCACACTTGTCCCTCTAACAGAGCCACACAGCAGGGACAGCGTGGGGAGGTCGACCAGGCATGGAAGGGGCGACACACTGACCCTCGAGATACACATTTCTTTCACCTCAGAGGACCCTGGAAACCCTGCCTGTCGCCCTTAGCGAGGCACGACTTCTGTGGCCGCCACGCGCCGCCGCCGGGGACCTGGCTCTGCCCTGACCGCCCGGCCTCAGCTGCCCCTCTGCCCGCTCCGGGCTCCATCTGTGCCTCCCTGTTCTGCACACAGGAGGGGCTGTGTCCAAGCACACGCTGACCTTGTCTTCCTAAAGAACAGGGCCCTTTGCACCTGCTGAGGGGAGCTGCCGGCCAGTGGGCAGGCTGGTCCCCCGACTCCCTAGAAAGCCCGCGGGGGATTTGGGCCTCCCACCCCGGCTCCCCGCACCCTGGCCTCCCCACTCCCTGCCTACACTGGCCCCAAGGCCCTGCCCGTACGAGCTCAGAAACCCGACGGAAGAGACAGCCTGCTTCCACTGGGTTCCTGCCTGGAAATCCGCCCATCCCCCGCCTGTGTGATGCTGCTTCAGTGCCCACGAACATCCTGGGGGCCCCCCACCCCAACAGGGGCCTTGAGCCTCCCCAGGAAGAAAAACACAGGTGTTTTCTCAGTAGCAGGCGAGTTCTAGGGCTATTTTGTCTGCTGGGCACTCCCCCCACACAGCCTGGGACTGCCAGATGGAGCTGGGTGGCCACTGCGATTACTCTTTTGTTCCTTTTTTGGATTTATATGAGATATTATTTTGTGTACAGGTAATTCAAGGAAGATGAACATTTTTCTTTTGTTAAGAGTTTTACTGGGGAAAACTGACGTAACATTGGATATATTTAGGGCGTATAACATGACATTGGCTACATGTATAACACATGACACACGGCATCGGGCACGCTGACATCGGCCACGTGTATAACACACGACACACGGCATCGGGTACTGTGAGAGTGTATCACACGGCATTCTGATGCACTCTGAGAAGTGACCACCACAGCCACTAGTTGACACTCAGTCACCGAGTGCGGGGAGAATGCCGACCTTAAGAAGCACCATTTGGGCAAACTTCACACACGTCGCTTTCCCGTCTCCCAGTAAGAGAGCGGGACAGGCGGCCCGGCCGGCGGGAGGTCTGACCCGCTGCTGTCTTGTTCCCGCCCCGCAGCTGAGCACACGGATCCCGAGCCAGGGAGACACGCCGTCCGTGTACTGTGAGGCCAAGCGGGGGGCCTGCACCTACCAGTCTGTTAAGCAGCAGCTGTTCAGGGCGCTTCAGAAGGCCGGGCTGGGCACGTGGGTGAGGAAGCCGCCCGAGCAGGACCAGTTCCTACTAAGCCTCTGAGCCGCCGGACCTGTGGTTCCCGGAGCCAAGTGGGCGCCGGCGCAGGGCGGGGTGAGCGTGCGTGCGGGGGCGGCAGGTGGTGCTCGCCCGCTCTCCCCGCTCATTTCCCCTTGGCGTTCCAGAAGCACACGTGTGGCCAACGTTCGACAGGCAGCTAGACGGAACCAGGGGCGTACTGCTCCTACAGCGTCAGGGCCGGGCGGCCCCCCAACCTGAAGGCGCAGGTGCGGCCGACTCTTCCTGGTGTGTCTGAGGCGCAGCCTTGAACAGCGGAGCCGAGGGCCGCAGCTGGAAACGAGCCTCGGGCACCGTCCCCTGCGCCCTCCCCGCCACGCGCCTCGAGTGACGCGTCTGGTTCTCTCTAGCACAAGCTGACACGATACTTCAGGATAAGCCACAATGAAGAGAAAAGCCATGGGCTCCTCCCCAAAGAAGCCAACAGAATGCTCTACCGTCCTCATCACTCAGATTTTTACTCCACCTCCTTCCACAGCGGATTTGAGATGCACAATATTGAAGAACCCCTAACCCAGGACCACAGAAATGAAGACCATTCTTGCAGAGTGAAGGAGCAGGCCCCACGGCACCCGGGAGCTGAGATGTAGGGCGTGGGCACCCTGAGCTCCCAGACCCGAGGGCCACAGGCCACCCACACCCGGACCAGTCCCCTCAGCCACACCAGTCCCCTCCAGTCCCCTCCCGTCCCTTCCAGTCCCCGCCCGTCCCCGCCCGTCCCCTCCCGTCCCCACCAGTCCCCACCAGTCCCC